TGCTGTGGTAGAGCCACGCTATGTTTATGCTGTATGAATGGGCCTGCTCAACCAAGGACGTATCGTAGAATCATATTTGAGTATTAAAGGTTTTGCGTTTCGTCTGATGATTGCGGTAACCGTTTGAATTTTACCACCTCGTTGGATACCAGTCCACGGCTATTCGTTTTTCACGCAAGCTTCTTCTACTCGCAACCATTTGGAAGTGTAGTAGAATCAGCTGTCGTCATTCCATCAAAAAGAGAGCCTTATCTATCTCTAATGTAAAGCATTTTTTATTCCTCCTTTGTGGCGAATATCTTAACGGTGGTGATCATTTGTCATCAGGGGTCACCACTTGCTCGCTTGCTTCCATTTTCGCATAAAAAGGGCGCACCTACTTAATTACAACGCCTGTAATCCCACACTAAACAATTGACAGACAACAAGACAAACAGACAGTTACAGACCTCACTAAACAGTTACCATCAGTTGAAGTCACTTTGTAACAGATAAATAAATAAAAACAATCCTCCAAGCACTGAAAATAAACCAATTTTTTTACGTTGATCTTGGTAATAATTCTAATATTTTAATGATTGGCAACACATTTGCATCCCTCAGGTGTTTTAGACGTAACTAAAAGGGAGGCGGTGATCATATATGCATATATTAGGTGAATTGCTCGCTTGCCAACTTTTCACGTAAAAGACTGACCAAACTAAACACTAAGGCCTTGTACATATTTAACGAATAAGACAGTACACAAGTGTACCGCGTATTCATCAACACATTTAGATGTAAAACTCAATAAGTGTAAATCTGCGGTATTTCCATAAACGCCGTCTCGGCCGTTCCTATGGGGCCCAAGTGGAGTGGTTTATTTATAAATTCATCCTTATATTACACGTGTGAATTATCGCTGGCAATTTGAAATTGTCTTGCGGCTAGGCGCTCGCACTTTAGCTTGGGCCAAAGTCAAGTTCGCGGGGACGTACCAAGTGTTATTTAATGTCGTGATATAGTTTCTTGTTCGGTTCCTTGGCCGGTATATGCGATGGTGAATGGTGAATTTATTCCTCTCGTTCCTCGTTGAATATAATAGCCGTAGACACGATGCTTTCTTAAATGAACTTTAATGAATGCTGACCTTAATTCGTTGCGTTATAGATTTGAGATACGTGTATTGCTTTTAATGAGGTTTTTAACAATGTTTCGACAGTATTAACCGAGTACTTTTTCAAAAATCTTCAGAAGAACTTCTAAAATTATTTCTCGATATTGAGAAATAAAACAATGCACTCCACAGCCTGTGCACAACAATTTTCCTTTGATATACATACAATGGCCGTCAATGTTCACATTTTACTATACTAAACTAATTAAAAGAACTCTTCCGTGTACAATTTTGGTGTTAAGTCCTTACCTTTCGAACATTTAACAAGAGATGAACTATTGTAAATTGTTCAAAATTTCTTGCTCATAGAAAAGACTCCTGATACTTTTTTTTGTTATAAAAATATTGAAATAGATTTCGTGCAAAATCATTAAAACTATTAACATTCTGGTAATTATTAATACGGGAATGCTACCGTGGAAAGGCTACCGTTTCGCTGGCTAATAGGCTTAAAAGTTTATAAATCAAAACGTCTGTTAAAAACTTCTGATAGAGATGACACAGTTGACTGGCACCTCACCATATGTCATAACAGCGAAGGTCTCGAGTATCAAATGCAAATAAACGAATCTATCTAAGCCGCGAACACAATAGTCTATCAGGGTTGGGTCGGCTGCATCTGTGTCAAATTCAATTTTAGTGCCCGTGCACTCTATGACCCGAGAACGGCTCACAATAAGCCGTTTGATTTATATCGATCGTGATAGACCGATATGAGTTGTGGCCGAACCAAGGGCGGCCTGCGATTTTGTGCACGACCGCTGTGTCTACAATAAAATGATTCGAATTAATAAAGAAATTGAAATTAAATATGACACTGTGAATAATAAATAAACACGTTGAGACTTTCAGAATTATGAATCGAATTTCGAAAACAAAACTATACTTACAAATAAGAACAGTGGTAACCATGCAACAGTATTTGCTGTTGCATAAACTGGCAGGACGCTGTGTCTACAATAAAATGATTCGAATTAATAAAGAAATTGAAATTAAATATGACACTGTGAATAATAAATAAACACGTTGAGACTTTCAGAATTATGAATCGAATTTCGAAAACAAAACTATACTTACAAATAAGAACAGTGGTAACCATGCAACAGTATTTGCTGTTGCATAAACTGGCAGGACCGTCCGAGGAAGTACCACAACCTCAAAGAAGACCGGCGTGAATAAAAATTGTGAAAATAAAAATTGAAAGTAAAGACTGCTTTGCGGCACAGATAAAAATTTTTAAATGCAATTTTAAGCTGGACTAACTATCACTTGCTCATCGCCAAAACGATTGAAGCCGAGCGAGGCGAAGCGAACCTGCAATGTATATATTGAATTTCGAAATTTGTCTAAAATAAATTCTATTTCTTTTTTTAAGACTTTTTTTAATGCGCATTGCCCTCGGGGATATTTAACACTAGGCGCATCCTAGCGGTTGAGGGGGGGCGTGCCCACCCCAGTATGGTCTAATGGGATCCCACCCCAGGATTTTGGGTTACCGATTCGAAATTCTAGGCTGGACACCTATCCTTCATCGCACAAATGGTTGTCCCGTGTGGTAATCGAACCCACGACTGCCGACGCCGAAGCCAATACCTTGACAACTGCGCCGCGGAGTCATCAGTAAACATGTAAACCTTCCACTTGAATAATATTGCTGAAAATCGCATTAAAATTCGTTGCGTTGTTTAACAGTTCTACAGTGTTCGATTTTTTTTTGTACTAAGGGTTCAGGCCCACCCTGAAAAATAGCCCTACATACGCCAATACCTAACACCCTTTATACACAGAAGGCCTTTGCCCAGCTGCGGGGTATTTAAAACATTCCTTTACGATATAAAGTCATAGATTGATTTACTTTTCAGGAACTTTTAAGTGTCGATAGTTTGTACAAAAAGTTGCGTCCACACCCGTTAGCTGATCCTCCTATAAAAGGGCCGTTGCATGCCAGAATTATTACCAAAGTCGCCGGGAAGTTTTCACAATATTTATGTATTTATTCAAGCGGAAGGGGAGAGTCGGTAATTGGCGGCACACAATGGAGATTACGCGGCTTAGCGTCGAGTTTTGTGATTCAAATATCGACGGCCCCGTGGGCGACAATAACTCGGCCTGTTATGATAATTTTGACGCCGTTCCGTAGAATAATTCGTCCGCAAACTGTTCACATCGAGTGGCCGCCGGAACGCCTTTATATCGCTGTCGTCGACTGTTGAGCAATAATTGGAATGTATAATATATTTGGCTCTTTCTTCTCTGATAGTCGACTGTGCTTGTATGTCTTAGTGTGTAAGGAGGTTGCCTATTGTATCTAGTTTCTTATTCTTTTTACGCCGACTTATTGAAACGAGAGTTTTTAGATCACATATTCATATTTTAAGCTCTTTATTGTGTTTTTGCCTTCTCTACGTTTGACCGTTTGGAGTCTCTTTTGTGCCGAATCTCGTTGTCAATTGGAGCGTCAACGCCTTGTATTTGTGCATCCTTAGTGCGAATCTTCTTGCACATAATAAAATATAAGCTTGTTGCTTTAGTAGGATGTCGTTACGGTTTACTTTTCATTATCAACTAGAACAGCCCTTGCGTTGTAGGAAAAGGAAACGGTTATAAACGTTTCCGTATCACCGCTGATAGCAAAATATTAATTTAAAACTCATTGGCATGACTGAAACAACCCTGGCATACATTTCACTGCGTTTAAAAGCATAACAGATACGCCCGGTTTCTGAAATACTGATCATAGTAGAAGTCAACTAAGCAGCTGTTTGAATTGATCAGAAGAATCTTCATAATGATCAGAATGATCAGTTCAAAGAGTTTAACAATCCTTTTGGCAACTCAAATAACGTTTGAAAATCCATTTTACAGCTGATTAGTTGACTTTTACGATCATCAGTTCGTCTTTTGAAGAGAAGTAAGATGTACTGTTACCTTTAAGCGCTTAAGACAGCGGTTCAGCTGATGTTCAATGGTTACCGCCATCCTCCAGATTCGTGCTCGTTTGCCGTTTCATAAAAATGTTTGGTGCGAGCGCTTTGCAGCGTTTCAACCGCCACTACTTATCAGCGTTACATCGGATCTAGTATCGATAGCTTATATCGTATGGGCCGTGGGCCATAGCGCGGGCGATTGGCGGCGCATCAATCTTCGCGAGCGTCACTGTCGAGCTCGCCCCCCGCGATTAATCACTCGCCGGAGCGTTTTCGATTAGCGCCGGATAGAGGCGTCGAGGAGAAACGAAACGTTCCAATTATGCGCGTTTGGCGCATTGTTGTCCGGCGCGCGACGGGTTAAGAGCTAATTTCGAATAGTGACAGTTTTAGGGCGTCTAATGATTTCCTAGCGAATGTTCGATGCTTAAACATTTCGTAGATGATGTAAGACGTGATCAAAAATCAGAAGTTGTTTGTTTTTTTTATTGTTTGTTTTTTTTTATTATTTGATATACGAACGATGAATTATATGTATTGTTATCGTTTCACATTATGAATGGGATCAACCAATTGATTGATAATATCGTATTTCTGTATAACATGTCTTTTTCATTAAATGTTGTCATTAGGGTCAAACTCTTTGAATGTTTCGAGCTTTATTTAATTATTAAAATAGCCGGCTATTATTGCAGATTATTCTGTCGAATTGCACTGAAACCGTCCATAAAAAAGCTATTTCTTTACATTTTGTCTGAGAGTTTAGATTCAGATTTAGATTCAATTTCGGATAACGACCTACTTAGGGGCGAGTAGTTCGTAATCTAAGCACCGATGACATTATTCGTCGCTACGTGGTTTCGCACGCTCCGAGCGCGTCGCTATACAAACATTGGGACGGAAACGGGAAGCGTCAAATGGCGTTTCGTTGTTTCCACGGCCCAGTTGACTCGGCGTTAAGTGCGTCGCGATTGTCCGGCCAGCGCGCTAAAGAAATGAATATAATCATAGTGGTTTTGGTAATATCTGACAACGGAGCAATGAACAGTGGTAGAATAGACTATTCGTCATTTTTCGCTGGTTTTATAAACATCTAGCGACCCGCCATGGTTCGCGCGGGTGCAAGGTATTATACATATAAACCTTCCTCTTGAATCACTCCATCTAGTAAAAAAAACCGTATCAAGACCCGTTGCGTAGTTTTAAAGATCTAAGCATACATAGGGATAGACAGACAGCGGGACGACTTTGTTTAAAACTATGTAGTGATGTTTCATTCAAGCTGTTGATAATTGGGAAAAATGTAGTGTAGTAACGATTTATTTTATATTGTAAGGCTGCTGTTTGTGCCGCAAATCCGCCTGTATTTTACGCGGGCGCGCGAAAGCCAACGTAGAATATTCGCGGATTTTCCTCGCTTATGACGTCAGTGCGTGACGTCACTTGTCTCGGGCGCGAATTCGACCGTCGACGCAGTTACGGTTCATTCTTAATGATTTTGTGTTTCGGCACCGTTCTATTTGCAAATATGGCGCGTGACTTGCTGTTGTGAAAACTTCCTCGTTCGATGACAGTTCTTTAGTATGGGTTTTTATGATCGTTGATACTCAACTACAGCTTACTAATATATACGATGGGTTGATAGCAAAGTTCCTTCATTGTTACAAAATACGATATGAGTTTTAAAGCCGGATATAGGGAAATGGGTTTTCAGTGTTTTATTTTTCCACGCTCCACGGGGGATCCCGATTACTTGAGCTTTTTAAAAGCAACGACAGAACATAAAATTTTATGACCGAATCGACTGCTTACATAAACTATAAATTAGGCCCATTTTATGAAGTGTTCAAATTGAAATATATTATGTAATCCTAGCAAATTATATCATTTAAAAAAGTTAACATTATATTGGAATTTTTACTAAGCTTAAAATCTAATCCATTCATTCATTGACACTCAAGTTATACAGAGTTTCGGAAAGCGACTTGTCCGAATTTTAATGGAACTGACATCGCTTAATTGGCCTGCGAACTTCGAGTTACTTGTGTGGGCCTTATGCAAATGCGTAGCTTTTTATTTTTTCTGGTTGTTTAGATATGTGCGACAGTATTTTCTAATGGCTTCTGTATATTCATGAGCAAGGCATGAGAAAACGTGAACGTCCGCGGCGGTTATATTTTTCCGGGCATGCGGGCGCACGTGGTTCTCGCGCACCGTTGCACACCGCTTCCTAGACGGAATATTAATTTGTGACAGCGGCACAATAGTAGCTATATCCATTTATATTCTGGGAACAGTTTTCTACAGTATTCTAAGAGATCATAATTCGCGCGCTTTCGGTGCGGATTGGCAGGAAAGTTTCGGACGCTGACCCCGCGTAATGGATACACTAGTGATGCGTCCTTCGTAATTAAATGTTGCCATACTCTTAGATTTATTATTTTCATATATGGTTCTCGAGTGGCAGCCTCGTACTGGCTCTACTGCGTGGCCATCGCAGCGTGGACGACCTCCCACTAGATGGAGTGACCACCTGTGCAAATGTGCGGGAAGTCGATGGATGCAGGTGGCTCAGGATCGTTCTTCGTGGCTGTCTGTGGGGGGTCTATGTTCAGCAGTGGAATCAAAAAGGCTGAAATGATGATGATGATGTAACAAGCCTGTGTGAGAGTAGCGTTATATCGTTTGCCGTTTTTTGTAACCGACATTTTTTCTTGTTACAGCTGTACGAGATCAGCGACGATCCTCAGCGCAAGGAGTTCCTCGACGATCTGTTCTCGTTCATGCAGAAGCGCGGTAAGTTCCCACATATCGCTCATTGGGTCCTGATTGATTCGCCCCACAATTGATACGTCCCGTAATTTATCATCGCGCCTTCAGAATCCGTTGGAGTTACCGGCCATTTTACGAAAGTCTGCGTAGAGACAGAGATACTTCGACACCGTAGATCTGGACACGTTGTTGTAGATAGGCATCACATTTGAGCTGGTATCACTCTCCGGTTGTACGAACGTTTTATATTGAGATCAGCCGCGAGATAGTTCAGACGATGATGAACGATTCCGTTCCGTAAAGCTATTAATTTATGAAACGTAATAAGTAATTGTCTAGATTGCATAATCCCCCGATGTAAAGCACAATCCTGCAACTTGATTAAACGGTTCTCAAGTGATATAACTGATTTGAAACATATCTTTTGTTGTTGGTTCTAAAATAGAAATTGATGTTTGTATGTTTGTCCAATATACGTACATACAAATCTATTATTGTAATGAAATTTTGATGAACCATTCCGGAGAAGACTAAACTGACTGACCCCACTGACCTTTGCAAATTTCGAACGAGGCAAAGAGAATAATGTCTATGTTGTTACCGCTTTCCACAATAGCCTTTTTATATACGGATACATTTTTACTTTCGTTTCATATTTTAATACAATCGTAAAATATTTCAAGCGTCGCAATCAGCATGTTAAAGTCTTTATATCTATTGAAAAGAACATCAATCATTCACATAAATACGTAAGTTTCTAGAGCGTGGAACAGTAAGGGTTGAAGTGTTGCGGGCTAGTGTGGGAATTCGCCACGAAGGCCGTATCTGCACAGAAAATCATTGTGTTTTAAATATCATAATAGAAATAATTAAGCGAGTATCGCTCGATCGCTCGAGGCGCTGAGATCGTGCGCGGGCGCGTGATTGATAACTATACAGCCGTCTCCGTCTTCTCGTTCGCGATCCGCCCTCTCTGTCCCGCATTAATTGATCCCCGTCGCAAATGGCGCCATCAATGTCGGTGTACGTTCAGTTGATGCGCTGCTGCGCTGTCGTTAGTCAAATCAATAGTTATTGTTGTCGGACGATTCGACAACGATATAGTGCTTTATATGTGCAAATACACGACACAGCTATTACTGCGTCAGTATTTAGTGTTCTGAAAATTGAACTAAATTTAAATGTGTAATGTTTTAGACTTGAGTTCGATTTTCAAAATTATTCAACATGATAGACATGACATCTGAAAACGAATTTTGTTCTGGTTTTTTCTTCAAGTATTAATATTACCCTTAACTGGATATCTCCAGAATTAAAACTAACTTATGTTTTTAGATCTCTTGTTTGGTTGAATCATGGCGAACTATATTTATAAACGGATTCGTTAAGCATCCAAATTGCTTAATCCCCCCAGTGGTTTGTTAGGCGGTCCTACTGTCCACGCGCCGAAGTTTATTGCGCGAGATTAATTGAAAGAGAATGTTGATTGGACGCGTTGCACACCGTTAAGAAATGGAAAAAGTAAAACATACATATATATAATCATATATATGTATTAATATTTTCTACTTTATAATTTACATATAAAGTAGAAAATACTTTCACTTCCATTCTTTGAACCTATCGTGATAGAGCAGAAGAACAATAATCACTCTCCGACTAGTGATATCACTGTTTCTTACTATTTATTAGTGTTAACGGCGGTTAAATTTGTTTTGATAGGATTTGCCAGGAATTTAACAAAGTGCTTAGTGAACACCATTTATTCTGTCACCATTGTCTACCCACATGACGCTTACATGTATTCTAGCTGACAATGTTTAAAATAAAAAACAAATTATAAAGAAAGATTTCGAAAAAATATATCCTTGATATTACTATCTAAATATTTTGCAATTACAAAACAGATAAGCTGGAAAATTAATCTTCGTCATAATAACGAGGCGGTACAAGGGATCAATTGAAGTTTCTTTAAATTATTTTGTGTCATACAATACATCAAATGTTAGTTTTCATTTCAACTCCGTTACAATATCCACGGGCGTAGTCGCGGGCAAAAGTACGTGTTACGTATGCAATGCTACGGTTCGGTGTAAATGTGTCCAACCCAAACATCGCGTCGCGGCGATCGAAACGGGTCCCGCTTATCTCGTTCTGAATACATTACTATTCAATTTATCACCCAACGGCCGCGGCCAATAAACTTCTGGTTGTTATTACGCGATGCAAGATAACGCGGCGGATTAATCGCTTTTTGTTTGCCATTTTGATTCGCCTCCGCGATGCCGTCGCTGTCGGTTTTTAGCGCCGTTGTAAATATCAATGTATACTTTTGAAAGAAATATTTACGAACATCCTATATTTTTAACCAGTTGCCGTAAGATTACCCTGCTCCTTTTCGAGCGAATGCATACGTGTATGTATGTAAGTTTTATTGTTTGTGGTCTTTAGCCAACTCATCTCAGTTGTGTGAGTAACATATGGTGTATTATTTCACACCATATTGAAAAACCCAAAAAACTTCGCGTGTTAGTATTTTTTATTGCGAACGGGGTTTTTTGTTTTTTTATATTTTATAACACATACATAATATATGCACGTTCGTCTGCGGTGTTGTCAAGTGGGCAACCTGAGCATATGACTAGTGGTGTTTTCTGACTGTAGTAGGGCACACGCTGTTGCACAAATGGGCGGACTCGGGATTTACAATGGCTTTTATAACACCAGCGTGAGGGTTTCTTCCCGCGATCGAGTGACTGGGACCCATTTTATTAAAGGTTGGCAATACATGTACCGCATGGGAGTGGTATATGTCCATTGGCCACGGTACTCGCTTAACATCATTGTAACGTTCAATTTGTATTTTTTATTTATAGCTATTTAAGTAAAGTAACGAATTTAATGCCAATTAAGTGCTAATTGACAACTCCGAGTGAAAACACCAGTTGGACGTTTTACAAAATGTATCTAATCTATCATGCGTTGCTTCAAGCTATCCGAGATAATCACCGTTTTATAATCTCACGTCATAGCAAACATCGGGTTTTAATTAGTTGGAATTAATTTATTCGAGGCGGGTTAATCCTCCGCGAGCCATCACTCCGTCCGATCTCCGCGTATTAATAATGTTTTATCATTTATTATTGCTCGTGAGTAATGAAAGTTGGCCTGCCACGCCCCGCGCCTTCGCCACACTCCGTCTTCGTCTCGGCTCGAAAAAAAAAACGCGGGAAAAGAACAGATTAAAAATATTATTACTTCTCGTTTTTACTTTTTAATCAATCACCGGCAAGCGTTCCGTTTAGAGGCAGCGACGAACGATTACGTTAATTCTTATTAAGACGCAGGATGCCTAACTTTGTGGGTGGCTCTAATATCTGTCGGTTATCCCTTATCGATATTCGAATTCGTGAAACGTATTAAAATCCGCGATTCGATTGCAGCAGCTCTTTAAATTAGAGTAGTTATTAGTACACATTTGCGATACCGTAGTGGATTATATTCCCAAAACTAGTATCCGAATGAATTACGTCCTGATTTGGGTGACTCTCCTTCTTATTTACATTTGTTTAACAAAGACAATCAAAAATCATAGGCATAGCTAAAACCTGGGAGGAGGTAATGTATAAATAAAATTAGAAAAAAATGTCAATTGTTCTTTATCATTTTTAATTCTTCAAATTCATATATGTGTGCCATTAAATATTATATTATATATTCTTATATTCTCACTTACTAATTGGAAGAACAAATTTTATATGCGATAAAACATCGATTATTGTTTATTTGAAATAGCACTCTCGCCTTAAGGGATGTGCAGTGTTATGACTTGTTTTTCCTTAACCTAATCTTAATTCCATCCATGTTCTTTATTTCACGATGTAAGTACATGTTCTGTCGAAGGCATAAGTGTCGGTATTACGACGAGATCGCCTTGTTAGCAGCTGATTGATCGCCGATCAGTTCGTCGGCGGTCTCCATCCTCGCCGTATACAGGGTGATTCTTATTGTCGACTAACGATTTTCTTATTTATTTTGTCATCTTAAAACGTGCGATAAGAGGAAAGACGATGTCAAAAAGGAATTATTAACATAACGCATTATATAAATATAATTTTAAAATAGACTATCATTGTAGACAGAGCTTTTTCAAAATAATATTTCCACGCATTATAATGTTATGCTTTTTATGTCTCTGCTTAAATTTATAATTAATATTTTTTGAAATTGTACTAATAAAATACTTGTCTATTATTATATATCAAATTAATAAACAATTTTGACGGTAATTCTTGCAATTCTGTTACAAATACTCATAATTCTTTTACATACAAGATTATTCAAATTCTGGACGGCGAAGCGTATGTAATAAATAAAAGAATATAACAATATTTTCGTTTATTTAAGCCATCACTTAAGTACTTTAAAATGAAAATCGTAATATAAGGTTTAATTAGCACGTGGCTCGATTAATCATATCGCCTTTAATCACCAATTCTTTACGGCCGATAAAGGCGATCTGCCTATAACTGGCCCTCTATTGTTTCACTTGTTAATAGCGACCGGGCCATAACTAATAACATCTCATTCGGATCCATTTCCCGTGATTAATTATCTGTTTAATCGATACGATGTTGTGCCAACAGTGTTCTAGTTTTTCTCACCGTGATTGCGCTGATTTGGCTTTTACTAAGTTAACATAGGGTGCATTTTAGAGTGACAGCTTGTGAGCTAGATTAAAGAGTTGATCTATCATTCTTTCGGTCCGTCTCATTGAAGATAGCCTTTGTTAGCGGTTTAATTGGTGCCTTAAACTGGCTCACGGTTAATTCGATTTCGGGCCGAGCTTCGACTGCAGTCGTTTGTTTTTCTCGCCGGCTTCGTAGCTCCGTTGCGATGTGATTTAAGTTTGATTGATTGGCCGCGCGATGCGATTGTATGAAACGCGTAAAGCGCCTTGTTCCGGAGCCATTTTGAACATAATCTGCTTGCCCGCGTGTTATTAACAAAAAGTAATTCACTCTTTTATTTTTTTTATGGAATTTAGTATTGCTAAGTTGTATTATTATATGTA